AAAAAAACTTCGAAATAAAAGAAAAGTAAATTAAATCCTTAAATATTTGAGATTATTTCACTATTAAATTTACGTATGTTTAAAAATAAAAATAAAAAGAAAGAAGAAATTGAAGTTGTCCTGTTGAGCACCAGGGCAAACACGATAATGTTATAATTTAAAAAAAAAATAGAGTCACCAACTCAAGCCATTGAAGATAGAGAGAAAAAGAGAAAAAAAAGCGCAAAACGTAAAATAGATATAATAATTTTTTTTTCTGTTTAAAAACAAGACACAAATCACGTCATTATATTGCATATATGTAACTAAATATTATTGATTCTTGTTCATTTTGGCACACACATTTTGCTATGCATCTTCTTATTCTTCCATTTTTTTTCCCCTATGAATGTTGTGTTAGACAATGAAAAATTATGCTTGAAATCGATTGCTGCAGAGAATAACCTCAGACATGTATCATTTAATCATATCGCACATTTCTGTGTTTTTCTTCTTCTCTTGTTTTATATATGTATATAAATAAAAAATGATGTTGACCATTTTGTTGTTGTTGTTGTTGTTGTATAAGAAAACGCAATAAATCTAATGCTATTCATTCAGCGTAAATTAATTCAATAAATTATGAAAATCGTTACAAATTGATTTAAATATGTCGGAAGGAAGACACACATTTCGGGTTTTGTATGCGAAAATTCGAAGGATTGTTCTTATATTTGTTCGATTATTGTTTTTTATTTCTGGTTGATTTTGTTTGTGAATGGGTTGGGGGTGAGAGAGAGAGAGAGAGAGAGAGAGAGAGCCATATGTTGATTCATTTGTTCGGTTTGATGTGTGTCTGTGAAGGACAAATGGGGCAGGATGTCATGGATTCAAATCGGAACTGAGTGTGATAGAGAGATAGAGATAGTGCAGGACAGGGGGAGGCAGCGCAAATGAATCGTGCGTCCTATGCGTATTTGAATTAACATTTTATAATATATATATATATTTGTTTGTTTGTTTGTTTTTTTTTGCTTGTTTTAAATATGTTGTATGCAATCGTAAGTAATGTATATATTTTTGTGTGTTATGTAATGTTCTTCGTATATACGAGTGGGGTATAGCACGATCTTCAGGACATTTTTCGACAGAGTGTTGTAAATTGAAAATACATTTGTTGTTGTGAGTGTGTATGTGCTGGGGTGAGAGATGATGTCAAAAAACTTGAGAAAATTGCCAAGTGCAATAAAAATCAACGGTCCTTTTTTTTTCAATGATCATTTCTATGTGTGTGTCAGTATGTCCTTATCTCAATAGGTTGGATCTTGTGATTTTGGAAAAATAAAATAAATACCCATTGAAACAGTGTATATATAATTTAAAGACATCCAAAACATGTTCATTTTCTTGCATTTGTTGTTGTTGTTTTCATTCAGCTTTCATTTCAATTTGATCGTTTTTTTTTCTCTTGTTGAACCCCGTCAGTGTTTTTTTCTTCTATTTTTTGAACATAGACTTTCAGGCTAAAAGCAGAGTTTCAGCTCGTGCACATCAAAACATGACAGCGATATACGCTTCGTTCAACTTGCTTCTATAATAATCGACTGATATAAATTCCCCGTTGAACCGGTCTCTATGTGTCTATGTGTAAATGTTGTAAGTCTTACGAATCTAAAAAATTTATACATTTTTTTTAAATCTTCAATAATGATATATACTTTGTTTTTATTTAAATGTATAACTAAATAGAAATTTACTTTAGTTAAATAAATTCTACATTGAAGTATTGTTCTTCTTCATTTTTTTTGTATTATTTCTTGTTTACTTCTTGTTTGAATTAGTTTATTCATTTCTTGTTTATCTTATTCTTCTTTCACACGCATGGTTGTACCATACTCATGAGTGTGATGTTCATTTGTATGCTCAACATGTATGAGCTAATGTTCAAGTCATATCTATTAAAATAAAGTATGCCATATTTAAATAATATCGACTCGAATTTTCGCGAAAGCATTTGCATTACACAATAAAATGGTTTTATTTTTCTCCTAGTTTGTTTTTTTTTGTTCATCTTGTAATCTCGCTTGTCGTATTGGAATTGCTAATTTCGTTCCTGTTCTATGTGTGTATATATGTTTTCCACTATTTAAATCAAATTCTCAAATTTCAATCGGTTTTTATTTTTATTTTTTTTCTATTTTTACAAAAGATTTTTCATTTTCTTTTCACAATGGATATACTCATCAGAATTGAATTACTTTATTCATCTAAATTGTAATGTCTCAGCTTTTGCTTGATTCTTCTTTCTTTTTTGTTGTTGTGATTTTGTTTTATCTTATTGCAATTACATATATTGAAATTTGTATATAATAATTATTTAATAAAGTTTTTCTTTGGTTGATCCCATTTTCCCAAGAACAGAAAAAGAAACAAAACAAAAAAAAATGCTAAAAAAAATCATCGTCTTCCGATGACCGATTAAATTAATTACAATAATGTTATAAAAGTTTTTTTTTTAATTCTTTGTTTATTTGTTGTATTTTTTTGTAATTTTTTTATTAAGATTTTTTTTTGTCTCTTTATTTTAATGTTGTTTTATTTTTCTGAACGATGAAACGAATTATTTTTGAGTAACATTGTAACATAAGCTAATTAGAGACGATACCGCTGACACATGAGTGGATAGAATATATATTGGCAACATGTGGCTTCGATTGCTGTTGCTATGTCTGCTAAAACCACGTGTGCTCAGACGAAGTCAAATTCATCCTACATACGAACTCCTGCTTCAGTGTGACGGCAGCGATCACTGTCTATTGGCGGTTTTGGTTGTCAAACCATGACAATTGATGTTTTTTTTTTTTTCATTGAACTCATTCTGTTGTGTTATCATCACCTAATCTAAACTTGTCTTTTATTTTTAAAGTATTTCAACCACTTGTCTATTTTCGCTACAATGATGATAAACCCAATGATTTATTACACATGCTGTGTGTGGCCACACCGGTGTGTAAATAATATTTGAGTGTTTGAAATTGTTATTGTTGTAAACACTTTGACACAATTGTGAGAGAAAGAGAGAGGAAACTATAAAAATAATATGATTTTTTGTTGTTGTTGTTGTTTTTTTTGTTTGTTTAAAGCTCACAATTAACCTAGTCTGCTTAAGATTTAGACGAATATTGACTGATTGCATTAATTTTTTTCTTTCATCTCTGCATCCTGAGACGACATACTCAGGGTGACGATTGTGTGTGTTCGTGTGTCTTGTATATTGTGTGGTTGTGGTGAGAGTGAGTGGTGAAAGAGTGAATAAGAGAAATTGAGATATATGTAGAGAAAGAGAGGAAAAAAAAAACAAATTGAAAATTCAAATTTCATCATCTATATAAGATTATTATTTTAAATATAACTTTCAATGCGATTTGTTCATCTTCACTGCGCTGTCTTGTTTTTGTATAATAATTGCATGTGTTCTTTTCTTTTTTGCTCTTGCTTTTTGTTTATATAATTTTTTTTTCCTTTAATTCTTTATTGTAATTTCGTCCTTATTTGGCTCAAGTACTTAAAAGAATTTATCGAATAATTACTAATAAAGCACATTAACCATGTAATTATTGCTTTCCATATTAAATATGTAAAATGTTCCTTTAGACTCTGTTCATTTCTAAGACTTTTTTTTTCTTTATCAATATGATTGTGTTCATTATGTGTTTTCATTTTCTTCTCTTCTTGCCTTTTAAATTTGTTTTTCTCGACAAGTGTATGTGTAGTAGGTATTGTACTTCGTACATTCGACATAAAATTTGGTTTTACAAGCGCCAAATATCACATGCCAAACGCATTGCTTTTTCTTGGCCGATTTTTTTTCTCTTCATTTTTTTTGGCTGAATCTCTGGGTATGAGAAACAAAATGATGGAAGAATGATTCAGCCAATGTTTTGATGGCCTTAATTTCTCTCAGAAATGGCTATTTATTGATTTACTTCAAATGTGGATCAATGAATTTACTTTTCCATTTCAGATGTAACTCAATGCATGAAGTGAAGTGCAGTATGAGGATGTGTGTAACAAGTGTGGATATCTTGGTTAAGAAACATTCGGAATGATGATAATGTCATCAGGTGGACAATGACATGAAATGGGTATTTGTCCAATTAAAAGACAGTACTTATGAATCGTGTCTACGCTTTGGATGAATGATTGCTTGAAAATTGAAATTTGATTCGGTATTTTTCTCGGAAAAGAAACTGAGATGGCGCATTCTTAAATTACTCAAGTAATCAAAATCGATTCCTTGAGAAAAATACTATGAAATACACATCTTAAAACAATTTTCTCTTCACTACACGATTTGACATAGATTGAAGAAAGTGTTTCAAAGCGCAAAGCGCACGACAATTTGCCACAATGGAATCACCATTCGCGGGGTGAAGGTAGTGGAAGGATGTCAATGAAATGTTTCTTCGAAGATTTGAAAAAAGAAGATCGCAATATTCGATGCGGGTGGCGCAAATAAAATGAATTTGTTTTCCAAACATTTTTCGAGTGAAGAATTTTAGCTCTAAGCGTGAACACCCTTACATTATTGGAATGCAAGAGATTCACGTACACGAAACACGCCATTCGACCAAATTGTATCTCTTTTTTGTTGCTTTGCTTTGTTCATTTAAATTAAAATACAAGTTCTCTTCGTCTACTTGATTACCACACAACATTTTATTTACAGAATTGTTTATTTTTTTGCTTTTTTTTTGTTTGGACATTAAATAAGAATATCTAAAATAATTCTAAAAAATTACAATATCCATTTATTTAGTCATTTTTTGTTCTTTTCTTTTCTTTTTGTTTAATTACCCATTGTCGGTCTTCATTTCATAATAATTATTGTTAATTTCATTATTGCTAGTTCTTTTCTTGTGTGTGTTGTGTCTGTGTGTTTCTTTTGTCAATTTGTTCGATTTCTCTCCTCGTCTCGCTCCTGGTTGTTGCTTTTGGTTGTAGATATTGTTTCTTTCGAATTTTGTTTTTTTTTTTCGTGAAAACTAAGTAATATTCTGTAGCATGTTGCATGGTTATGAGATATATTGACTTGACACCATTTATATACACATGCAGATTTGTTTTGCGTCTGCTTTCTTCAAATCGGATAAATCTTTGTCGAGTAAATGATAGATGTGTATATTGGATGTTTACATGGATAACTATAAAAGTATTGTGTAGTAAATTCACGATCTGATTTGTTTTTGTTGCCATCATTCATTGCTACTCTTTTGTTCAATCAACCAAATTTTGTGAATTCGAATGAAGTGATTGTTTTCGATTTTCGCTTCGATTTGAATCATTGTGGAAAAACTATGTTTCGTGAAGTGAAATTGATGTGTGCCAATTTGTTTATGTCAGGAAAAACAAAATCTAAGTTTCGGAGTTTTCCGGAAAACAGAAGTGTTCGTGAGTTTGTTTTTTTTCTCTTTGGTGGGGCAACGTAAATAAGTAAATAAATCCGTTCGCAAAATAAGCTCGCGAATTTCAGTACGACCACGTGTGGGAATTATTCATGAATATGTGAATTGATCGGAACAGCAGCATAGTCAAAATGATGATACTGCTGGTGCTGCTGGCATGTGCTGATGATGCGTTTTTGCTTTGTGTTTTGACGTTTTTCACACGCTGTTCGCGCACTCGATCGAATGTCAATCCAATCGCAAAGTGGGTACTTGCATTTGTATACGCTCAAGTCACAGAAATTGAATGCATGCTTCTTGTTTTCATTTGTAATTTTTGTACTGTCAGTGCCATCTAACGAAGCCGGCCGAACCAATCCATTGCTTTCGCGCACTCACTCTTGTGTGCTGTGTGTGTGTGGAGGAGGCCAAGCATCAATTCGCACCGTTAAGTTTCAGTGTCGTGACAACTGACATCGGCCCATTCTCCATCCATTAACGAACGGAAAAAGATTTCAACAAAATCAAAACCATTCGAATACGCTTCCTGTTCCTCAATAAACTTTCCTTTTTTTTCCCTCATTCGAATGCATTTCGACCTGTGATTCTTGTATTTAATATGAACCATTTTTGTTTGTTTGTTTGTTCGTTTAAATTAAATGTATATGTATACATCTGTTGTATATAGATATAGATCAATAAGTCTCCTGAAAATATGTTTATGTTTTCTACCTGTGTGTTGCATATGCAATTTTACTTCATTTTTTCTTAATTCATCATCAGATTTTCAACCCTATCATCTGTATTTATATGTATGTCCTGTGCTTATTACTTAAGACTACATTTTATTGCTGATGCTTGTGTTGGTTTTTCTTTTCTTGTCTTCTTCTAATATTCCTCATTTTCCCGTTTGCAATTGATTCAATCCGTCCGAAATGATATCACTGTGTTTTAGAGTACGCAACATATATTTTTGGCACTATTTTTTTTTTCATGGAGCAAAAGATGAATCGTTTTATTTGGTCACAACAATGCGTGACAGATTCATGTTATGGTTTTTAGTTCGTCTCGGCATCAACAACAATAAACAAAATGTAAATTCGAATATCTGGGTGATCGAAGTGAGAGACGACGATTCGAGACTGGAACCAGTTCAGATGTATCCGTTTTTCCTACTGCGTTTCTTACTTCCATTTTCATCAATCGAATGCACACAATCCATTGCTATTTTCGAATTGGAAGCTAATACGCTCCCTTCGTCTTAAAATTAACTATTTAATGTATATGTCTTTTTGTTGTTGTTGTTGGGTTTTTTTTTCTTTTCCTTCTTCTTCTTTATACGAATTATCGAGAGAGGAAAAAAAAACATTTTGGCATCATAAGAAATATATTTTGTTTGTTGTTGAAGTGTGAAATGTGCGCACATTTCACGGCGATTCCCATTTTTTCTAATAATCGAGACACAGAATCAACACGTATTTAATTTGCATTATATGAATTAAATTGCTTTTCACCCGATCCGCCTTCCCTTATTGTAGTCATTTCATTTTATTTTGCTTATCGATTTGTCTGATGTGTTTATGATAATGATTATGATAATGGATGCAGGGTGGGCTATGACATGCCCCCCCCCTACCGAAAAAAATCGAAACGAACCAATACCAAAATTTTTGGCCAATAAATAAAACCAATCAATAATATAAATTTCAAACTAAATCAGTCTAAATGTGTATTTGGTCAGAAAATAAATATCTGAAAACAAAGAAATTTCGTTCCAGTGATATAAATAGAGAGAGGGAGAGAGAGAGGAAAGAGAACAAAATCGTTTTTTTTTCTTTGGGAAAAATGGATAGTGAGATAATAATTGAAGTAAATTAAGCCTCAATGCATTCGCTAAATTGGGCTGGACAGATTGAAATGAAACACTCAGTTCAATTCATACAGCAGCCAAATTTCATTTGCTTTTTTCCTTGTTTTTCTAAATACAAAACATAAGACGAAAAATCCTTATCGCTTTAGCGTTCAACTCTTTAATTCGAATACACTACAACTAACATGCGAATAATAATATTTTCAACGTAGTCATCTAGAATAAGATTAGTGTTATGCAATTTGTTTTTTTTTACTTCTGTTGTTTGATGATGATTTTTTTTTGTCATAATAAATTCGCTTCGAGCTTCAAGTGTACTAAATTTAAATATAGTAAGTTTTTTTTTACGGTAGACTCTTTATTTTCTTTAAATATTGTATGTGTGTGTAAACTTGTTGTTTTGCATTCTATTATTTCCTTGTTTGTCTTCTCTATTTGCCATGCTGTCGGTTAATGTTTGCGTTTTTTTTTTTTTTCTGTCGTTCACTTTATACACAACATAAAAAAGGAGAACCGACGACGAAAAAATCGATGCGGAAAACGCGTCGAGCGCAAAAACTTTTTTGACAATTCGACCGACTTAATCGACCGACGATTTGCTGCAACAGTTGGTTATGTTGTTGTAACTTTTTAATTTCTTTTGTGCAGAATCGCTTTTTTTTCCTCTTTCCGGCAAATGCGGTTGTCTTTCATTCTTTGAACAAATTCACTTTGAAATGTTTAGGTGCTTGTGTTAAAGTGTTTTGATAATTTCACTACATTTAGATTTACATTTAAAATTCATTTAGAATGACATCAATTTCTATCGTTTCGAGTTTACATGTTTCTACTTGATGAGATGTAACTGGTTTTTGTTGTTGTTGTTGTCTTTCTTCTGTTATTTACTTATACGCAAATAAATTCTCCGTGTGAATGATGAATACTTGAGAAAAAGAAGAAGAGGAGATTGCGCAAAAAGAAATCAAAAGGCGTGAAAACGAATTGTAAATGTGCAATGTGAAAATCATAAAGTAGTTACTCTTCATTGAACATAAATGACTGATGTGCGTTGAAGTTATACAAACGCACGTAATTCACACTCTCTTCACACTTGGAATGAGATCTGTAATCGAAAAGTGACTATCTCTCTTCGAATACATCTTTTCCGGCAAATGCGTGCACGTCACTTGACATCAATTGATGATTGATCAGTTTTAATGTGTTTATTCACCGTTCTCGACGAAAAAATAAAATCAAGTGTAAAATTAACGCGCCGAGAGCAAAAATTGAATGGATCGAGTAAAACGTGAGCAAAAAATCGTGTGAAAGGAAACGAAAGAGTAGTAACGGCGATAAATGATAAGTGTCGACAACGATTGTATTGCACTGTTTCACTATTCTTTAGATTGATTTTTCTTCTGTTTCGTTCCATTCAAATATTAAATATGTCCGAAAAGTTTTAAAGCACACATGAGCCGTTTCCATTGTTTTTTTGTTGTTGTTTTTTTTTTCTTCACCATTTTCTTTTGGTTTCTTCTTCTTGTTTAAATATTTGATCCGAATAACTTGATATAAATAAGATTGTCGACTAAATCATGCATTTACTATATTTACACATTGTCATCTGTCGCTTCCATCGAATCGCTTCAAATCCATACACTGAACGAGAAAAGAGTACGCTCCATTTATTTTTTCTTTCAGAGAAAAATAAAAAAAACGGGAGCATTGGGCCCCAGCTCCATTTCTCACCTGTTCCTTTCTTTCTTTCTGTTTGTTTTTTTTATTCACTTGTTTGGATATGCCTTGTAAAAATTTCGCAACACGCGATTCATAATGAGAATAAAGACAACATCAATTTTTCTACGGCTTGATAAAACAAGAATCCTTCAAATCAACTAGAGCATCTCGAGTCGTTAACAGTGAATCATAAAGAGATATTGCTGTATAACACCTTCTTCTCGTCTCTTCCTCTCTTTTTATTACGTCTAATATTTCTTCGCTTTTTTTCCTGCTTTCTCTCTGTTTCATGTGATCAAAACCGTATTATCTAAATTTTTTTTATTCTCAAATGACATGCATCGCAATTTTGGTTTTCGCGTACTTTTCCCTTCGTATCCTTCTTCTCCTCCTTCCTTTTTCTCTCAAATATATCAATTTTCTTCATATTTTGTTTTCTTTTTCTCCTTCGGTCAACTCATTCTGAAATCGCTTTTTTCCTCTTCTTTTCATTAAACACATGTTATTATCACAACAATTGATGTGGTGTATTTACCTGTTTGTTTAAACACCTAGTGTTTACTCTATGTGTGCATATGTTTCAAATGTTGATAGTGATAGAGATATTAAAATTGTCAAATCTCACATCAAAGCCACCCAGACCCCCTCTTCCCCCCAGATTGATTTAAAAAGAAACGTGGGAAAACATCACAAAAAATTCCAATTCTATTAACAATGTGTTGATTTATATGAGTCACAGAAAAACAAAATTATTCACATGTACACAGATTAAAATATCAATTGTTCTTTTCATACGCCATTTTTTTTGTTTCATCTTCTTTAAATAATATCAATAAATACCAACTAATCATTTAGTAATCAGCTCTTTTTTTTATGTTGTTTTGTTTCTTTGATTTGCCTTTGTCATGTGCGTTCTCGTTTTTTTGTTCAATATGCAGTTGTTGTTTCAAATGATCGGCACACAACATTGAGATTTGATTATTGAAAAAGCCGGTCACATATCAATCAGCAATTTTAAACCAAATCAAGGACATTGATAAACCGAATGTGGTGTGATAAAAATAAATTTTGGAATCGAACCGTGCTTGATATGTGACGCGACAACGACAACGACAATGATAAAGCAAATCGGCATACACACATCATAATCAGATGTTGTAATTCATTTTGCTTAATTCTTGAGACGATTTTCGGTGGGATAATCCCAAAATTATTTACAACAATTGTTTTCCGCTTGAATTGAATTTTTAAAATTAAACGAAGACAGAAAAAAATATACTCTAAATCTCTCATTGAGTGTGTTTTTCTTCTTCTTCTTCTTCATCTCTTTGCTACTTTCAACATTCGAGATTCGCTAATTTGTAAATTCCATTGCTCTTAAACATCCTTAAACACGTTGTTCAATCTTAAATTGTACAATGCGAGAAGAAACGAAAAAAAAAACAGTAAAAGAGATTAAATAAATTATTATGGTTAAACCATTAAAATATATGTCTTTATGTTGCAAGCACAATGCACGTGCCAATTCTTGATGGAGAGCGAGAGAAATAGAGAGGAGAAAGAGAGAAAAAAAGGAGCCAATTTCAAATTAACCCATGAATGAATGGATGAGGAAGAAGTAGAAGATGACCGTATGAAAGGCAAGCATTTTTTTTTCTAGAAGAGAAGAATTAAATTACACGAAAGGAGAAAAAAAAAATTGCTGAAACAAATGCCCGCTGGTATTTGTAGCGTTGCACATATAGTTAATAAACAGTAAAATGTTTCATTATTCATTTCATTGTCATCATTTGTTTTTTTTCCTTATTTTTTCAGGTTTGTTTGTTTGTTCATGTATCACTGAAACTGATATGTGTGTTTATCATTCAATGAATTGGAGCTTTAACTATGTGATTCGGTGCAATGTAATGATATCCAGGTATTGGAAGTCCAGCTGTTTCCATCGAAATTCTGAAACGATACAACGAAAGAAAATCGAAAATGTTCAACGTTAATGTGATTTGGTGAATTTGGTTTTAATCTTGTCTAATTTTTGGTTTTTTCTTCTGGCAAATGTTTTCTTTTTTAAAAATATTTTTTTTTATACAAAATGAACACATAAATGATTATTTGACTGACAAAATCCCAAGAAGGTGCGCGTGTTGAGGATGATGGTTTGAAAAATGTTCTTTTACTTTTTTTTTCTTCAAAATTTCAATTTCAATAATCAGAACCCCATGATCAAAATGATGAAATCTCAAATTTAAATTCAAATATTTCGTCAAATTAGGATATGCGTTGGATACCATTTGAACAAAAAAAAATAAATCTGGTGTTTAATTACAAGTTTGAGTGGTTTTTTTTTGGATTGTTCGAAGTCGTTTATTGCTGTTGGTGATGGTGATGGTGGTGGACGAGTAAAAAAAGGGGTTTTCATTTAAAAATTGGAATTGGATTAGGTGAGAGTATCGATGAGATTCGCTGAAACTGCAACCGCATGACACAACACTTACGCCTGTAGTGTACACTTTCCGATGATATTCCAAGCGCGCGCGCTGTTCGTTTCGAACGACCGATATTCAATGTCAAGCCTCTAAAATTAACCTATTAAACACAAGCAACAAAACTCGATTGGGTGGTTTTTTTTGTTTGTTCTTATATGTTCTACACCTTTATTTGTCTGTACGTAGTTGAATTTATATACCATATTTTGGTGGTCAAACAGTTTTTTTTTCTCTTTTCGTTCATATTCTTCTTGTGTGAATACTTTGTTCATCTTTCATTGATTTAGAATTAATCAATAATCTTAATAATCAAAATTTGTTGATGAGGATGAGCATTATCATCGTCATTTTTTATTTTGCTCTTGTTGCTGTTGCCTTCATGTTCAGCATTCTAATTGGTACTTATGTGATTTCACGTATATCCATATAATTTATAATGTTTAATAATAATCATAATAATGATAATCCGAATACAATACGAATAAAATGATGACTGAATAGCTTCAGCAGCTACCAGCTAAAGACTAAATAATTCATAGATAATAGGTAAAATGGAACTACAGCAAATAATCGGCCAATTTCATTTAGTGTGTGTTTGTGTGTGTGTGTGTGTGTGTATGTTTGTGTTTGTGTGACACGAAAAAGCCGACCATTTTCTCTTCGACATCAAATATTTTAGTCGATTGTGTTTTGTGTGTATGTTTTGTTTCTTGTAGTGTAGTTGGTGATTTAATTGGTTCACATGGCTAACCATAAGTGTTATTTTATGTATTTTTGTGGGAGGTTAATGGTTAAGGGTGGTAGTGATAGTGGTGGTGGTGATGGTTAGGAGGTCGAGCATTTAGACAATTTTGACAATATTCATTGTTGTGTATGATAATGAGAACACAATTGAAAATGTTTGCTACATTGCATTTTAGTATGTCCTACCATGTTAGCTGTCTGTCTGTCTTTCTGTTCATTGAAGATTCTTTTCAAATATCGCCTATCTAAGCCCGCCACTTGCGCGCCATATAACAACAACAACATAAAAATTAAACCGATAAAACGATAAAGAGAAAGCAATTTGCCGAAACTAGTAGGTGCTCGTCGTTCCTTCTTTTTTATTAAATTAATTTTGTACCAATTTCTAAGGGAGAGAGGAAAAAAATTGTCATCTACATTTATACTAAGAGTTTCTTGTTTTAAACCTGTAATCATTTGTAAAAGTTTCATATTTTAAATTCTATCATTTTATTGTTACATGAAATTAGCTGCCACTAACGCTAAAGTCGCGCGGCGCTGTGTCGGTATAATATCCGTTTTCCGTTGAAATGATTTTTTTTTTCGTTTTCTTTTTCTTCTTGAATTTGATTACGATCTACCTAAAAAAAAATCACTAAACAAATACAATTCAATATTCCAAAGTTCTGCTGCTGCTGCTTTTTTCCCATCATTCTGAGTGAGTTTGGGTGTTTTTATCCCTCACCATTCTATACTTTAATTGAACAATTGGAGATTGCACATTGTGATTTCCCCTTCGTTCACTGAACGGCGTTCAGGAAAAAAGCAAAAGAAAATCCTGATTGCAAAACACTTTTCGTTTTTGTTCGCTCTTCCAAACTGTGGCCTTTGAATGTGTAGTGCTAGTGCTAGTCAATTGGTTTTAATGAGTGTTCTCTGTTACTTCTGCTTGTTATGTATGTGTGTATGTGCTTTCATTTTTATTGCAAACGTATTTCAGAAACCGATTCGTGTGTGACACTTTTCGTTGGAACAAAGTGGAGAAAACAATCTACGTGTAATTACAAAACCGTATAAAAAATACTACGTCTGCTTCATGTTGTCATCAGTTTGGGATATTTTGCTGACCGATGATATTTTCGTGTGTTGTTGATTTTTTTTCATTAAAATTGTGAAATTTTTTCTATCATTATTTAATTATTATTATTTTGTTTTAATTCGACTGTTCAGTTTTTTTTAATCATTTTTTTTCTTCTTCTTCCTTACATTGAAACGAAACAACGAAAATATCCAACGGGACCTTTCATTTTATGCCACTAACATTTTTTTTTCTTCTACATGTGTAAATATTACAAATTAGAAACAATTTTTCTCTTTTTTTACTTATTTTTTTTCTCTTTCTCATTTGCCTTGAGTGTGTGCTTGTGTCTGTATTTGTGTGCATATTTTTATAATGATTTTTTTTGTTTGCTTTCTTGGCCATTTTTCCTTCAACTAACATTTTAATTTTTTTCTTTCTCATTTAATTCTCAATTCAACTCTTATCATCTATGTGCAAAAGGAGGCAATAATCTCTCCTGCAGACTTTAAAAGTGAGATCTCCTACCACAATTCATTGATGAAAATTTCTCTCAATATCTTTGTGACGATCAAAGGGCCGAACAAATAAACAATCCGGCCAAAATTCGACCACATCCTGATCCTTATGAATAAATATTTCACTTTTGTTCAAACTTATTTTCAAAAATTCTCCATTTTTTTCCCCTCGTTTTATTTTTTTTATTCTCATTAGTTTTTTTTTTGCTTCAATTTACCATAAAAATTCGCTTTTGAAAATGTCTGTCCCATTGCGATTTATTGTCTCCGATAAAATAATAAAAAAAAAACATTTTCGCATTTTTTCTGTTAGCATTTCAAGTTTAGTCAAAGTGTGTGTGTGTTTTCCATCCTTGTCACATTCAATCATACACACACTACATTAAATCACAAATGTGCTTTATTGCAAAAGATTAAATTAGAGTTGTGTGCTAAACGTTACGTTTTGCCTCTTCTTTTCCCGACTTGGGATTTATAACCCATAATCGAGTTTCTACGCAAATTAAACTGCATAATGTGATGTATTATACGTTTTCAGAGGTAATTAAAATTTAACGAACATTTGCGGATAGGAATTAACCAGAACTTCAACCATATTTATTATCAATTCAAAAGATTTTCATTTGGAGATTACTCGGTCGCTGCAGAATAAAAATTGTGCACAAAGTGGGATTTCGAATGTGAAGTTTCTTTGAGATTTATGTCATGTTTAATTAAAATTACCGGATTTTCGTGTGACGCAATAGCAAATTATGCTCTTTCGATAAGGATCTTTGATCCAATCACTTTTTCATCTTGAACACCATGTGCATTCGAATTGAAAAAGGAAAACTTTTAATGAAATTCAGAATCGGTTGGATTTTCCCAAGTAATTTCGGTTTCTTCGCAGTGGACAAATGGCATGGCGTTGGTTTTAGTTTTACAAGTCTATTGAGTGAATTATTGCTTTATTGGATGATGACTAAAAATCGACAAAGTTCATCGTGATTTTTGCTATTTTAATAAAATCTTACATCTCAACTATATTTCGTGTCCGGGAAAACATGAATTAATTTGAGAAGTGAAACCGCCGAAAAGGGGAAAAGTGACTAATTGTGCACAATTTAAAGCGTTGCCTTGTCCAATTTTCGAAATGAGTATATTTTCAGCAGTTAAATATCAAATTGTTCTTCTCGCGAAGTGATATTGCTTTGGTTTGATTTTGCAATCCATTTTTTTTTCCCGTTAAATTGTACATTTTGCACAGTGGGAAAAGCTGGTGGAAAATCCATTTCAATATGATCTTCTGTCTATTTGATGAAATAACATCACTGTGTGAATTGATTAACTGAATTGTGTTACTTCTTCACGCCTGTTTCAAATCAATCGTTAAAATTTGATAAATTTCCAAACAATACTGCTGAATAGGGCCGGGGGGAAAAAATCGGAATGAGAATCGGAAATATTTAAATCAAAAATCAAAAATCGTGGTATCCATCTAATGGATCGATCGTTTTAACATTGCCAAATGAATTTTGTTTATGCGGTAATTCAATGTTCGCTTAGCAATTCACATTTTCTTTCATATTAGCTCATCTTGTTTCTTCTATAAAAAAAATCTCAGATCTTATTTTAAGGACAAAGAGACTTTAAAAAAAAAAATTCTCAACACCAAAAAATTAAAACACATCGAATTTTTGTATGTTTCGCTTATGCTGGATTTGTTTTGTTGGCTTTGAATTGTTATCTATGCTAAGGATTTGTGTTTTTTTTAACTGAGTGAACGTTTATTTAAAGCTACCGAAAAAATGTATGTCGCTTCATTGGCTCAATGGAAAAAAAAGTGTGTAATTTGGCCTCGAATTTCAAACTGAAATGTTGCAAGCGTGAAACCTTCGGTATTTTTTTGTCTCGTTTATCTTCTCATTTTTAATTCAATGAAAATGTATTCGTTCGAGTGTCTAATTGACAGAGAAACGTTACACTTTTCGAATTGGAAACGGGTAAAAATCATTTTACCGTGGAAAACAATCAGAGAAAAAAAAATCAAACACAATTCGAAAGCTGTAACATTTTTATCCCTCAATTAAAAATGCATTGACTCAAGAGACTGTAGACGCTTGACACATTTCCAGCCGAAAAGGTTTCTTTTTTTTTGATCTGTGTGTTAAGTGGAAAACGAGCGACCAGACCCATCATTGTGTATATTGTGAATGAAAATCGAACAAAAATACGCTAAAATGATTTTTGCTGTTCGAATCGGTATACTAATGGTTTTCTAGAATTCAATTTGTCTTGCAGCCATTCCAAAGTGTTCCAATAAAAATGTGAGTCAATTTTACACAAGTAAAATTTGAATAGAATTGGTAGCAGCAACGGTGATCACTTCGCTTTCCACATAAAATAATTTAAATTAAAAACTTAAAACTCCACTGAATACGACTAAATCTCGAATTATTCCCATGTGATTCTAAAACTGACAGCTGGGGAAAAAAATAAAACAAAAAAAAAATAAACACATTTGTCTCGCTAAAAATTACAAATAAAAACTTAAAAATCAGTCATCGAATCACGACGATGAGCAAGAAAAAAAAAACTATTGAAGACAAAAAAGAAAATTCGCTTTTAAAATAATACTCTAATCATTATTTGTATCGATAATCAGCATAGTTATTATTAGGAATTCTAGGTATACATATAGCAATTAATCTCTCCTGAATTTGAACGCCACATTCATTCCAATCATATTGGAATGGCAAACAGATGCCTCTGAATAATTGAATTTCCCTTTTGCGTGTGGGTGCATGCGCTAGAGCGCACGCTCTCTCGCACTGATTTAAGTTTTTCATAAAACCCAAAAATCAAATCAATTTCATGCTGTGCTTGCGTAATTGAACCAATTTTCAGTATACAGGAAAATACAACAACATCGATTTAAAAACCAGAAAAAAAAACTCTTTTCTCTATGTGTGAGCAAAAATGTGAGAAAAATCAATCAGTTTTTTTATGTGTGTTTATTCTATATAACTTTTTTTTTGTTCTGTTGTTCGTTTCGCATGACTCATATTTTGTGTTTGTTTGTTTGTTTTTTTTCAGTTGCGTTTGTTATTTTTTTTTTGCTTTTTGTTTCGGGTTTGTGTGTGTTTTTATCTGCGTTTGTTGCATTTAATATGGATTAAATTTGTTTCGGTCGGCTTTTTTCTCCACGTTTGCAGTATTGGTGGTTCGTACGCCGCGCGATGCAAGATGCTTGCTTCTATGGACGCCGGTCGTTTGTACGGGCGGTCCGGCCAAATTAGCCAAGCCGCCGAGTATATCAGTTAGGCTGCTCAACGCTGTCAAACTTTGGAGCGCGTTTAATGCGCCGGGTTTCGTCAATAATTGGGCCAATGGAATTGCGGATGCCAAAGGATTGTTTAAGGTGTTGGTAGTGATGGTGTTGGTGGTGTTGGTGGTATTGGTGGTATTGGTTGTGGTGGATGAACATGATGATGATGAAGATGGCGATGTTGTTGATGAAGTTGTTGGATTACCACCATTTGTATTTGGAGTTGTCTGATCATTAGCTTGTAGATTTGCTTTCTGGAGTTCGACGCTGTAAGGATAGGATTTTTTTTATGGATTAGTTTTGGTGGATCGTAGGTGGAATTGAAAATCTGGTGTGCATAATGATTAACAATTTGTTTTTTTTTTGGTTTTTTTTACGAAATTGTTTTTTTTACGCTTTTATTTTCATTTGGATCAGGTTTTTTAAAGCTATTGTTAGTGAGTGGGATTCATTGGATTTTTGTTTTGTGGGTAAATTTGATTGTCATGGAAATGTGTGTTTGAGCAGAAAATGTTCTTTTTGCCACATTTTTCTTCTTCTTACTTTGCGAAAGCCGAACTGCGAAACAGAAACCAAATCCATAGGTATGCTTCGTTATGAATGTATACTTTTGTGATTGGCTTGTCCCGCAGCGGATTGTCGTTAAGCAGGCACAAACAAATCTCCAGCGTACATTTCGACAATATCATTGAAAGACTTAGTTTCTGTGTCAAATCCAGCGTTCAGTTATGGGGAATTTTACTGGGTTCGATCAAAAAAAATTTTTTTCTCTTGTTGTTATTGTTCAAAGGAATTAATTGGTTGGACTAATCGATTTACTCATTACGGGGATAAGGCGATTCACATAGATTTACTCTCCTTCTCTCTCCAAAGAGTACGAAAAGACAGTTTTTTTTTTTTTTTTTTAGCAAAGTACTCACGAGCGCTTAATCTAAAGAAATGCTACAAGCTTGGAGAAAATTGTCAGTTAAGTCAGGTACAGAGATACTTATGATTTTCAGTCAAAATATGGGATGAAATGACTTAAAATAATGGAAAATAGGAGCCAGCAAATGGGACGGCACATGCTGTGGCTGCCAACAGACTAAAAATGTAATCGATAGAAGAAAGGGGGAGGAGGGAAACAATTGTTTTGGTAGAAAGTCAAAATCTCGAAAAGCAATGCAGAAGATGTTGTCAATATCGATTGATGGTGCAGCGATAAAACGAGCCGCAAATTGAATGTCGTCCAACAACGAAAGGAAAGAAAGGGAATGTCGCTAGGATTAAGAATTTATCTGGCGGTCTTTTTTTCTCATCAGGTTATTTTTACATCTCCGTTGCAAATCTCGAATAATTTTTTTTAAAAAAATAGGGAAAGAAGTAACCGAAAAAATAGAAAGAATGTTTCAATAATAAATTATTGGGAAGGTGAATTAAATAAAAAAAGAGAATCATCATTTTTTGTCCTCTCTTCTTCTGTTGAAAGATGAAGATAGGATTAAACTTGGATTGATCATTATTTTCTCAGGTTCATCGATGACACAAGAAAAAAAATACACAAATTCAATATCGATGTGTTGTTCAGTTCACCAAAACGAGTTTTTCGCTACAATGAGTGGCCTTTTTTTTCATTCATTTTGTATGAAAATAAGTAGCTAATTCATCAAATGGCACAGAACAGAAAAGGATGTAAAACAGTATGAAAAATAAAAGAAGTTAAGAAGAGCAAGACAGTGGGCAGAGAGACCTTGAATACAGTGGATAAAAATGCAAATGAACTTGGTATATCCCTGGTTCCGTCTGACATTCGCCTTTTTGATTCCAGCAAAAAGGTATCCCTTTGTCATAAATTCAATTTGTTCATTTTTGTTGTTTTCTTGTCATTCCTTATGTTTAAGCATAGGTTTACCATAATATCCCATAAATATCACAAATATTTGGTTCAGATTGGTTGCTTATTGTTCTTATTATAACTTTTTTTTGTTGTTGTTGTTGTTTAGTTTAGAGTCAATTATTATTATTATTATTTGAAAAATGTAAGAGAGAAAAAAAAGAAGAGAAAAATTATGAAAAATCAAACAAATGATGCACATACCTCATGTTAATCAAGTATTGGGCCACAGCCACCGAGTCTGGATTGCCGCTGATTGTAATTGTTCGATCGGTGTTGCCTCCTTCGCGCTCTTCACAGTTCGAAATGCGAATCATGGCACCGGAGATTTGGCGAATTTCAGCGATTTTGGTACCACCTTTGCCAATGATACAACCAATTAAATCATTCGGCACAGTCATTTCGTGTTGTTGTCGATTTGTTTGCTGTTGATTGCGATTCTGATTGCTTGTACGTAATTGAGAGCCGGCCAATGCAGCCAATGCTAGATTTTTTTTTTTAATTTTAGAAATAGAAAAGAAAACACACACACGCACACAGATGCGCACGGGCGGATGGGAAACGACATAATTAAAAAATAATTCAAACATTGAACGCTCTTTTGTTTTTGGCATTACGAAAACGAGAGCAAAAAGAAGGAAAAGAAATATGATGTGACCATGATGAGTTTGAATGGCGAGTGATTGTGTAAAAATCACATCAGATCACCATTAAAATCAAGATGGGTGTTTCATTCGAATAACGAAGGTACGTTTGGGTAACTTACCAGTTGGATTCAATCCGCCAGTATTCGAGGGTGCCATTCCAGCCAATCCCAATGCTGCCAAACCGGCCAGTGGGTTCTTAGTCAAACCGCTCATCTGCTCACACACAGACACACAATTCATGATTAAAGTAAACAAATGAAATGAAACGAAAAAAAAGAGAACACAAAATTCAGATTAGATCGATATCCATCATACCGTAATCAAATGGAAAAATCATTCGAGATATTCTGTAAGTAGCATACAGTGGCAAAGTGACAGGACATTACATGTTGGAAAGGTTGTTATGTTATGTTTTGTTGTTGATGTTTTTGTTGCTGTTGATTAGTCAACATAATAACTAACTAACTAAGTTGTAAATGTTATATACAAGGATGCCAATCGTTTCAATTACAAAATCAAAATCTAAATTGTGAAAACCAAACAATCGTGTACAAGAATAAAACATCGACCAAACGAAATAAAAGAAGGGAAAAAAGCAGAACACGTCAGGGTTTGATGTCGAAACTCGACAGATTTATAATACTTCGGAAATGAAGTAAATGTGTGGTTGTGAGGACAAAAAAAAAGAGAGAGAAAAAAAACGAGTCACCGATTCTACGTCATCATCTGCAGTTTTCAAATGGTGCTGCCCACAAATCCGACTACAAACGAAATCTCATGTCAAATGATCTTCTCTCTAATTTTAGAGATTTTTTGATGCGACGGACGACGACTCATTCATTTCGGTTGCATTATTTCTGTTGTCGTTGCGCCAATTAGTCAAAGTAACGTCCAATTTTTTTCGTTTGTTTGTTTGTTTCTATTCAATTCACTTGAACTAAAATTAACATATACATCGCAATTTTGTGCAGCGTTCGCAACGCAAATCTGTTTCTCGTCATGCAACCAAGAAAGAGATTTTGTATTCTTCCCATTCCATTTGTGTGAGTCTACAATGATGACGATCGACTACGGAAATCAGAACATTGTTGTTGTCGACGTTGTTGTGTTGTTTCTTTTTCTGAGTATCAAGCTGCAGCTTCAAGTTTTTTTTGTTTGTGTCTTTTGGTTTCAACTGGTTTTGTTCACCGATACACCGTTTCACATTCTGATTTCGTTTGCAATCCAATTTGGCTAGATAAAATACCTAAACATAACACAAAAATGAAATGAAATTCGAATTGTACAAGCGTAATAACGAGAGAAAAACAAATGGTTCATTTTTTCTCTCTGGTATTTCGTGTGTGTGTGTGATGCTTTTATAAAACAAACCAAACATTTGGAAAACGCCATCAATATAAACTAACACACAACATAAATATTTAATGGTGACTAATAGTGTGATGGTCAAATTAATTTTAAATGGTGCAACGTGTACTAAAAATCGCATTAGAAAAACACGACGCTTCCCAACCGAAATATGACGAAAGCAAAATTGCACAAATCGAATATAAATAAATAAATCAATTTTGAAAACACGAAATACATTGCACACGACCACGACGACGACGACGACGACGACGACGACGACAAAAGTATGAACAGCACAAAAAAAAAACGATTTCGAATTTAATTAGCGAAAATAGTTAATTACATTAATACAAAACGCAAACACTCTCACACATTGGACGCATTAAATGAATATGGTTTTTGGAGTGAAAAATAAAATTGGTGAGGAACAAAAGTGATTTCCTATATAAATTGGGCGAGAGAGAGAGAGATACAGATAGAGTGTGTGTGTGTGAGAGAGATGTATAGAGATTGGGGCGGGTGACGGGGGCTAGGCAATTTCAAACATGTTGATTTCAATGTTCAATACGATCAAATGAAACGCAACTCAATAAAAAAAACAAACGAACGAACGAACGAACCAACGAAAAATTAGAGAATATTGACAAAATTGCATGTTAATATACAGTTTAAATTAATTTGGATCAGGTTGGAGGCTGGAGGTTGAAACTTAATTGTGAAATATGATTTGATTTTGAAGGCAGGCAGGCAGGCAGGGATTCAGGAATGGAGAGCAGAACCGTATATCCTAGTATGATTGTATCGATTCAACATTTCTGTTGACAATGTTGTTTTTTTCTTCTTTGGTAAATGAGCGGTCAACAAAGCAACGTAGAGATAAATCGAAAGAGAGAGTGAGAAGAGAGTAACAAACAGGAATAGAGAGAGAGAGAGAGAGAGAGAGAGAGAGAGAGAGAGAGAGAGAGAGAGAGAGAGAGAGAGAGAGAGAAAAAGTGATATACTGAACAAGATGGAAGTTTTTTGAGAGAAAAAAAAAGTGTGAAAAAGATATTGGATTCGAAAATGTCCAAGTGGAAAACAGCGTCTACGGTTTCAGTTTGGAATCGATTGGTTGTTGAAACTGATTTTATTTTTATGATTGTTGTTGTCGTTGCTATGTTGTTATCATTTACTGAAATGGATTCGATTTAGAGGTAATAAACAGAACAATTGAGTGGTTGTGAAGTATGTGATGTGTGGCTTCTTTTTTTCTGCTTTTTTATGTAATTTTTTTTTATTTTTCTTGTTGTTGCTCAGTTTCGTTTAGAAAAAAAAAAAGTAAACGAAATGCATTTGGTTGGCTTTGGCTTTGGCATTGGCTTTTTTGTAGTTGTTTTAGAATGGAAAATCTTCTGGAGGAAAAGTGGTGTTGGTGATTTAAATAGGGAGGGCAGCACCAATCAAAACGAATATCAACTCACATCGGGTATTTGCTGCAGATGATGTGGCGGCATTGCAGCCGACAAATGTGTTCCTTTTAGAAGTGGGTCTGCTAAACCTGAGATTCCTGCATGAAGACCACCGGCCAACGCAAGTGGAAATACCGTACAGGTCTGTGCGTGTTTTGTTTTTTTTTCGTGTGTTTTTTTTTCGGTAAAATAGTTTTTTCATTTTTGAATGAACGAACGAGCGCGTACATGTCATGTGTTTCGGGCCAGTTTGTTTGATTATAAAGTGTGTGTTTGTGTGTGTGTGTTTTTGTCATTCACAAAATATGTAAAAAAGAAATAAAGAACGAGGCAAACAAAACAAAATTTAATTTAGTCAGTTGTTCCATCAAAAAAAATTTCAGCTAAAAGAATTTTTTTGGTTTTTAAATTAAAAAAAAAAATGTTCTTGGGTAATTTCTTTTCATAATAAATTTGGGTTTAAATTCAATTGCTGAAGCAAATTTAGGTGAAACAAAATGAAAAATTAACGAAAATTACAATGAGAAATAGAAGTATATTCTGTTGTCGGTGTATTGTTTTTTGGTTAATTGACGAAATTGCAATCGATATTAGAGCAGAGAGAGTTACTCCGAGGAGGAGGAATGGTGAGGAGGTGAATGAGGAGGAGGAGAGCGCTGAGGAGGTTCCTCCTCCTCACATGAGGAGGATATGAAAATTACCAAAATTTAGGCATATAAATTTATTTTAAACACTTCTATTGATTTTGATCGTAGCTTTTCATCTCGTTGGCATTCGTTGCAAATCAATAAAAGTGTTTAAAATAAATTTATATGCCTCAATTTTGGTAATTTTTATTTCCTCCTCATGTGAGGAGGAGGAACCTCCTCAGCGTACTCCTCCTCCTCACCATTCCTCCTCCTCGGAGTTACACTCCCTGTATTAGAGTTATAAAAAGTAGAAGTAAAGTTTGAGGAAGACAACTAATGACATAAGAATTATTATATATTGAAAGAAAAAAAATATAGAAAGGTAATCAATCTTAGAGAGCTTAGGCCATTCAAAGAATGGTTGAGAGAATAAAACAAAACATATTATTGAATGAAGAAACAAGAGTAAATATTTGTAAGAGCTTAAATACGTAATCGACATAATATTTATGGAATTCGAGCAATGACTTTTCGGTTGTCGTTCTCCATTTTTTCTTTCCCCTCATATTTCTACCTCCGGCGATATTGATGTTATTATGGAGACACAGCACAGCACACATTCAACATTTCACCGATATTTTCGAAATTTCATTGAATATGATGTTATCGATTTTTTCAGCTTTTTTTCTTCTTCTTCTTCTTCTTGTGATATCGCATGCAAATCCCAGACAATTTGTTATCAACATCCACCGTAATGAAGGAAAACAGAACATCGACATTGTTTGAGTTTGTTTGTTACGTGTTGTGAATGTGTGAAATTATGCGAAGGAGTGCGTCTGAATCAGAAATGTACTTGACAAAATGGTATCTGCACAGACTTCTTCGAATGTGTTTGTTTGTGTTACTTCGTGTGGGTGTCGGGTGTGTGTGTGTGTGTGTCAACAACACAAGAGACTGATTTGATGACTTTTTGGTGATGTGCATATGTGCGTGAATTAAGAAAAAAACAAGTGATCAAAAATGACACGATGAACGTTTTGTGTATGTGTGTGTATGGTGGAAGAGATAGAAATATAAGGTATACCAAGAGCGTAGTAGAGAAATAGATACAGAGTGATCAAAAGATAGAGAGAAAATGTGGAACAAAAGTTGTGACATAGAAATATCGATTATAACAGAGAAGGACATAACAGAAAAATCACGTTCTAATTCCGTTCATATGATTTGTATATAGACTGTCAAAATGTGATTAACATTGTTATCATTCTGTTCATAGAGGTTACTTCTTCGAAAGATAGAGAAAATAAATTAGACGACAGTTTTGAAAAAAAAAAGTTGTGAAGAATTAAGAATAAGAGTAATAATAATAAATAGAGAGAATAATATATAGATAGATATTAAATAAATTGCGTGTGTTAAAAAATTGAATGGAAAAAGAAAGAAACATTGGGTGATGGGTTGTAAACCATACGAACCTCCTGTGCTGGAACATAACTTCCTTGTATTGTGTATGCTTGTCCATTGGCTAATAGAACGGGTGTATTGATCTGTGGCTTTGGTCGATATGGGATTGTAGCACCTTTTGGTGGCGACTGTAATAACAATGGGCCGAAACATAGAGAAAGAGATAAAAAAAAGAAAGAAAAAAAAAAGAAATAAAAAACGATTTTATTCATTTATTCGTTGGAAAAAGTGTTAAATTAAATTGGAAACAATTTCCATTTCTTATTCGAATTTATTGCACTTTATCATTGCAAGCGTAAACTTTATGCAGGCAACAAAGATTTTGTACAGGGTTTTTCATTTCCTACGCTCTTCCTCACTACTCCACCATAATTCATTCGCAAACAAGTGTAACGAAGACAATTCACAACTGCGTGGATAATTTAATGATCTCATAAAAGGTTTTAAATATCTTCAAATGAATATGCTGTTGGTTTGATGTTGTGCCCCGTGTTGTGGTTGCGTGGCAAAATGGCAACAAGAAAACAGCAACAACTAAAAATTTACTTGGAAAACTTCAACTCAATTTCCATGACGATGCATCGTGTGCAGTGTTCCTGTGTTTTTTTTCTTCTTCTCTTCTGTGTCATCTCTTTTTCGTTGTTCTCTCTCTCTCTCTCTCTCTCTCTCTCTCTCTCTCTTTCTTCTCTTTTTCTGCTTCGAATCTGTACAAATTAAATTATTCCATAACATTACAAAACACACAACTTTTCCTCTTTCAACTCTTTTAGAGTATTTTTTCACGTTTACACTTTCGCTGCCATAGCTTAAGCCGTTTGACTTCGGAATTGTGTTATATTAAGCAAAAGTAAATTTTCCTCATTTTTTTCCTTCGCCATTTTGTGTGTATGCGTGTGTGTGTGTGTGTGTGTCTGTGCATTCACAAAGTTTTTGCATTTATTTTGCATTTTTTTTCTTCGTTCTCTTTATTCACTTCCCCCATTGTTGGCCCCCTTTTTCAATGACAGAGGGAAAAAGTTTAATGAAACTTTGCGTTTGCCTTTCGCTCCGATCTTGGCTCGTTTCCATCATACACGGCATTCATAGTTTGATAATATACTGTGAACACAACGAACGAACGAGTGAGCGAGCGAGCTATAGCTAGAATAAAATTCAACAAACAAAAATATGATGAACTTTTTTTCTTGTTACACTTGTGATTTTTTTGTTCAGACTTTTTCTCGGCCGTTAGTCAGCATTATTTTCGCACTAGTCGACTATTTTTCCCCCCCTCTCTCTCTCTCTCTCTCTCTCTCTCTCTTTCTCTCTCTCGTTCTTCATCTCTTAACATCATTATTGTAGTATGTTCACTTGTACACTGCAAACACGTTTTTGTCCACCTAGCCTCATTCACTCAATTTATACTGGTGAGCTGTCATAAACAGTCGTCGAAATCAATAGATTGTTTATCAGCTCAATCGTAATTATAGGCCAATATATAATAAGCTCAATGACCCAATAATTTCAAAATTGATGTCCACACAAAATAAGTCATCCATTTTTGTTCGTTGAACGAATGAACAATGGAACGAACCGAAGGAAATAAAAACACCGAATTCCAAACTGAAAGAAAAACAAGAAAAAGAAAAATGGTGGCAATTTGAAAATTACCTCAAGCATGACACAGCATATGTGAAAGATGCACTGTGTAATTTGTTCAGCAGTTCCAGTCAGTTTCACCTCACGTTCAGTTGAATTTGGCAACATATCACTTGCAACTTGAATCGAACAGCCGGTACTCTCTCTGATTTCCTTTATTTTTGAACCTCCTTTACCTAAAGTGACATCCAAGTGTAGCGGCAACACAATGAAAACGATTTAGAACGAGAGTTAGAAAAAAAACATTGAGATATAATAATGTCATCAATAATGGTGTGCTTTTGTGAAGAAAAAAAAATCCGTAGTAGCTTTTAGTTTGAGTCCTTTGGAAAGTCATAAAGTTAAATTGATTGAAATCGATGAATTAAAGTTTCATGCCATTGAATCTCAATAGACTGGGAAAAATGTGCTGGATAAAAATTGTCATTCACCAGTTCATCTGGAGAAAAACAGAAGTTGATTATAACAAATGCTCCACATTCAAGCATTGTTATGAACAGACAACAACAGCAAAAAAAAGCCGATTGAAGTTTCAAGTGACTAGGAGCGTCCGAGAAGTCGATCATGTGCATGCCCTTGCATGTATGTAAATCAAGAACTATTGTTTTCTCCGGGGTGCATGAACAAGCTGCTTTACACATCAAGTTGAGTATTTGTTGTCGTTTTTTTTTTCAATTTTCACATCTATTGAATGGGTGCATTTTCGCAATTTTCTCTTTCTCTTCGTCGGAATGACCACCATTGAGAGTAAATACGTGCCCATTTTGTTCAATAACTGGTGTGATGGACGCATCAATAGCCAGCCCAGCATGTGGGCTGTCTACATATATCCATTGAGATGCCATACGCGACAAAAATCAATTTTAATTAAACTTTAATAATTTAATAAACAACAATCGTTGATATTGCTGTGCATCTCATCGTCTCACCCAGACGATTTTGAATGGGACCGATTCAGGAGTGGACCGTGTGTTTAATGTATCGAAAATATGCGTTGGCTTTTTCTCTTCGAGCTGTTTTTTCTTTGTTTTGTTTTTCAATTATTTGTTGCATTTTCAGTTTAATTATTATCAACAGATGCACGTGGGTGTGTGTGTGTATGTGTGTGTGTGTGTAGGGTGCTGGTGACCATACCTGCTTAAAGTTGATATTCCCATAGTGCAAATACTATCAAACTAAATGAAGCCATGTTTACAATGCGTTTTAAAATAGGACACCCTCATACCCTTTCCACCCGCCCAAATACAATGGGTTATGCCGTTTGGAATGCATCAAATATTATCGCGTAAATGTTTCAGAGCAAATTCCATCGAATGTTTCTTTTGTGTGTGTACCGAACCAAAAGTTGAACAATCAACAGGAGATCATATATGGTAGCGACCACACGCTGTTTTCGATGGAACACACATTTATTTCTATCAATTTGTTTTTATGGAATTGTGTTAAATATGTTGAAAGTTACAAAAAAAAAACATTCTTTAATTGAATGGTATCCTTTAAATTATTTGCTGCACGGTTGATGTTGAACATGGATACTCAAAATTTCAAAGGAAGTGCGTTCTATAACGGCGGCAAAGCGATCTGCATCACTTCCCAAGGAACAAAAATGTAACCTTTTTAGTAGATTTCACCATCGCGTAATGTAACGTTTTGGTCCATTTTCGTGGTAATTTCAGATATACAAACACAAAAGAAAGAATGTGAGAATGAACCGCATACAGAAAGAACATTCAAGTAGCATAGCTATGTGTACTGTTGCTCTCGTGTATTCTCTCTCTCTATGCTTCTCCGTTTCGTTCGTTTCATTCTTGTGTGTGTGTGTGTGCTGGAGCAAGAATATTTTCATAACAAATCGAAGTGTGACTGTGGCGATCAAGGTGCGGAAATAGTACGAAATTTTCAAAATGCCGCGTATTTTAGTTAGGAAAAAACTCCACTTTACATTGATTTGCTATATACCTCAGTGGCGCTAGTATCGTGAATGGGAGAAATTAACAGCTCTTCTTCCAAAACCTGGTGGCGATCGAATCCATTAGAATCGAATTGACAGCTCTTACTGTTTCTGCGTGAGGAACAATCCAGTTTTTGTGTTCTGAATTTCATAACGATGCGAAATATCTACTTTGAGTCGAATTCAAACGAGATTTTGAGTGTTCAACACATTTTTCTGGATTGTGCTGTTGTATTAGTTTTGCATTTGATTCGGTTGTGATTTTTGACTAACAGGACATTTGCACAACGACAAGAGTACAATATTCGAAGTTCAGCATTGCATTGTCAGTTTGGTGTCAGAATTCGTTGTGGCAAGTTGATTGTTGTATTGATGGTTCATTGATTGTTTCTTCAAAACAAATTTTTATTTTAGTCACGGTTTGATGGAAAGTGCAGTAATTTTGATCGATTTGTTCACCATTTTTCATTTTCATTAGATTATATTTGGTGAGCATGAAAAGGAAGCGAGCCCAGAACGGGCGACCGAGATCGGTCAAACTGTCGCTGAATTCGATTTTTTGGGATCAATATCGCGCGAATTTTGTGGCATAAGTCAACAATTGGTGCCACACAGCCACCGTCATCACCGTTTTGGCGTCATTGTTGTTTCTTTTCGAGAACAATTGAGCATTCGACGAAGATAACCACGATTTTTTCAGAGTCAATGGATACAAATTGATCGAAGAATGTTTTAAGTCGATTTTGAATGAAAACCGACACAAATTGCCGTTGGCCTTCCGCCAAATAATCGAAGCAGCAGTCCCAAACTTCCGATGGCCACAACGTGAAGGCATGGGAAACGCATTCAATGCGCTCATAAAACAATACACCACCAAGGTGAAGAACAACATCAAAACGTATAGCTACACCCGTATCAAAATGTTTTTCGTGCTGCAACGGTATGAACTCAATTTGCTTGGCCATAACATCAGCGACATCGATGTGAAAAATGCCACCAAAGCAGTTATGTTCAACAACATAGTGCCAAGTGCGAATGTGGAGCGGCTGCTGGAGCAAGCGCGTATAGTCGGAATACCAGTCGGTACGATGTTGTGTGATCTCGTTCGTGGTAGTTGGTTCCAGACGATACCGATATTCATCAACATTCAACGGCTAATGTTCAACCACCATGAAAGATACGAGCTCTTGAATGATCTCTGGCGCCGATATCATCGGGATCGTTTGCACAACGCCATGCCATCCATTGCACGCCCACCGAGAATAAAAAACTTTCGTGTGATTCCGATTCATGAGTTCAAGATGAAGCACATCCGGATCGATATTCATCTGTTCTATCAAATGGCGTGCAAATTTGGTGCCATCAAGTTGGCAAAAGGATTGTTTGGCCAGCCGGTTAACATTTCGAAAAAGGTCTACGACAGCAATCCACTTGTGTCCTGGGACAATATATATTCGAATATTCTATATCTTCTATAGAAAAAGCACGAAATTATTATATTGATAATTTTCTAAACTAAATTATTCATGGTCAATTTGCCACAAAATGTCACTTGTTCGATTACTTCAACCACACAAACAGCCGGAAAAAAGCTATATTTTGTCTGTGTTTCCTTTCATTCAATCGATAAAGCAAAAATATGTGTCATTTGCTTTTATTTTCCAATACAAAATTCATTGAGAAGATTATGTGGTATCGAAAAGATTGTGGGTGGATTCAATATTTCACGAAATTCTAATTATGTCAATCAATAACTTCTTTTCTTCCTATTTTCCAACGGAAGCACGGCACGATGAAAAAAAAATAAATAAAAGGCAACAACTATTTACCAATTAGAGATCCGCACTGGCTAGCTGGCACGATTAATCGTATGGGTACTTGAGTTTTGCCACCGGTTGTTGTATTATCATTGAACTGCGAACACCACTGCAAATATAAATGCAATTGACATTTTAAACATTTCACACAGGCAAACCGAAAACAAAACGATTTTAATCACTGATCTGTGAAGGGTTAAATAATAATAATGGGTGGCAAAAAAAACACGATCGAAACCAAAATCCAATAGAATTCTGGGCCGAAATTAAAATTAGAAATGCTATTAATTGGTTGAAACGTCAAATTAATAACAATGATTTTGATTAAATGAGAGACAGAAAAAAAACACACACAAACTGATCAATTGAATACACTACATTCCAGTGAAATGACTGCATAATTAAAATATACTTTTTTATGCGGTAATCGAAATTGTCTCTTTATTATATTTTGTATCATATATTTCGATTGCATAAAACTTTATTGCGTTTGTAATGGCTTTTTTTATAGCTTTTCCAATGAATTTAATGTGGAATATTCATTGTAACATTGTGTTCACATTACCTCTTCGAATTTTTTTGTTATCAGTGAGAATGCCTTGAAAATTGCATTTGTTGAACCGGAAACTGTAACTATTCGCTCCGGACACGATCCATCTGATATGTTAATCTTTGCGCCAGACTGAAATGAAATGAAAACATATGGCCCGTGATTAAAAGTGTATTCATTGAATGCAAACAATGTTGATCATTTTATCGATATGGAGTGTTTGGATGCATTGGATATTGATTGTTACGATTAAGACGCTTTTCGAAGGTCCTTCCAACACCGACTGACTGCACTCAACGACAATGTAAAATCCATCGAATATACTCGAAATATTGATAAATTCATACAAGTATACACATTATTGCCTGCAGTATCATCAAAGTGTGTCACTTATTGAAAATTACAAATGGTATACGACATCGATTTGATTAAATATTTATAGATGAACGTTAGCTTTCGCATTTAGAGGCGAATGTGTGCTCCTTACCATTTCCCAGACATAAAGATTCAACAATAACATTTCCAAATGAGTGTTTGCCTGTGCACCACTTAAGACACATGACACACACTCAAAGCAGACAAAAAGATAGAACGGCAACGCGAATGAGATACATACATAATATTAATTCAAGGCATGATGCAAGGAGCCATCGCGGTGTGCAGGCATTATGAGCAGCTTGAGCTGCATAAAGTATTAACGCAATTGTTATTTAAGCACAGAATTTATTAACGTGTAAATATTCAATTATGTTTACAATAACGGATAATTATACGCATTATCGTACGGAGACCGAAAACCAGTGGCTTTATGGCGGCCCATACACCACTTGCAACTGTACTACCGTTGTTATATTGCCATTACTGCCACTTTGAATTTCAGCTAAATTGTGTATACTCTTTTAGCCGAATTGCACGTTCATTCTATCGAGGGAGCGGGCAGGAGCGGGTGGGAGCGGGAGACAGAACCATTTTCTGTTGATTTTACCTGTAAGTTATTCTGTTCGATGAATAATTTAGATTCATACGAGGCAGAAATCATTCATTACGCTTGAAATGAGACACGGAAAACGCACGCGGTCGATTCGGCATATATTTGACTTTCGTGTAATTTATGCTGTAAATTGTTAATACGGTTCGTGCAACCGAAACTCAAAGTAATATTTCACATTCAGATCTTCGCTTCACTCACTCATTCTGTCTTTCTTTTTTACTTCGGCTTTGATTTTGACACAAAACTAATTCTTCGTTCGGTGCGCTCGTTACGATATCTGTTTCGTCTTTGCAGCTACTTTTCTTTTTCTTTCGCGTCTTTTCGTGTTTTTCTTCTTTGGTGCTGCTGCTTCGTCTCGCTTTTCCACACAACCGATAAACCAAATGCGTTCACACAAACACGCACACACCGAATGTAAAATCCGTTTCACGGGTAACATTGAAACTTTTCTCCTATGCTCTTGTTATGAAATAAAATGCAGCCAACTTCGAAATGAATATATAATTATAAATAGTGAATGATGTCAATTTAAATTCATGGAAACATTCATTTTTCCTTCGAAAATACATGGTTGGCGTTCAATACGTCACTTGACATAAACTTAATTGATGTTCCCGGTGACACAAATGCACACACTTTTCGGATTTTTTTTCCAATTTGGAAAGGTAGGAGGAGAAGGAGGGGGAGGTAAAGAAGCAAATAAGGAGTTGTGCTCCGTAATTGTACATATCTTCAAATGGAAAATTTAATTTTTAAGTAAAATTCATTGTCATTGTATTTTTTTCTGCGTTTGCTTCACTTCTCTTGTCGCTGATCCATTTTCATCTTTCATCCGATCGATCGTTGCGTGTGTGTGTGTGTCACAGAGATTATAATAAGTTGGCTGGTTTTTGAAAAGAAGAGAGTATTTTAAGCTCATTGATAAGTTGATTTTCAGTCGACAGCTAGTGCGTTCGCTCTGTCTCTCCTCCGACTCGCTTCATTCATTTGGCTAAATTAATCATCATGTGAATGAGAGGTGGGTGCCGGCGCCGGAATTAGACGGGCACATCATTTTTCAGACGAGAGATTACCAATCGAAATAATTTGGCGAAAATGTGGAAAATCCGTCAGGGAAAATGAGCACAAATTTGAAGACTCGTGTACAGTACCACACCAAGGAATACATCTAATTGGCTCTAAACGGTTGCAACCATTTAGAATTATTTCGAACACTTTATCGTTTTGTGTGTGTGTGTGTGTGTGTGTGAATCCACCGCCGACAACGCCACACTGAAGTCGAAGTTTCCAAATTAAAATGAATGCCGGAGGTAAAAAGTACTCGGAACAATTTGCAAAATGTGAAACCGAGAAATATTAGCCAAAGCATTCATGTGTTGAATGGTGTATGTTTATGCTCGTTGCAATAAGGAGAATTGAGTGCGAGAAAAAGAAAAAAGAAATGAACAAACTCACACTCACAACAAGCCGTATCAAAGTTTCATAGATGTACCCCATTTTGTGGGGATTGTTTTTCGATTCAATTGTTTGATTCGAATATTGTAGCCACACCACCTTGATATCATCCATCGTACGTACGTACGTACGTACGTCCATGCAATAGAATGGTACGCTTCGTTTCGGCTATTACAATATATGATTGTGGCACACGTGCAACTCCGTTGTACAAGTGTGTAATGAGAGCGAGAGTGTGGGAGAGTTTACCAATTTTCATCGAAAAGTCGACGCATTGCAATGGAATTCATTTACGGATTATTAAAACTCTGATTGTTAACAAGCATAAATAATGAATTTATTTGTGCTTTTGACTTATTGTTTGAACGGATTCGGTTTTCTGGCTGAACAGTTTTGGCGATAGAACGAGCCCGATATTAGTTGGTAACCATTCTGGTGCGTTTGCGAACGAAAAATTGTGTATAAATGTTGCTTCATTTGTCGCAATCAATATCAAACAATCAATGCGAATGATGGCAATGGCCAAAGGAGAGTGAGAATGAAAGGGAGAGCTTGTGTAAATATCATCTACGAACCGAATATGGGTGCATAGCTACAAGATTTGCAACCATTTTCAATCATTTACACAGACACACTCAACAAGCAGCCAGGAATTTCACATTTAACCGGGTAATTTATGGATGTTTATTTGTGTGCACAGTAGAGTGTTATTTGGGCATTTTCCGCAACTTTGTACAGCACAGTCACCCCCAATATGCTGCAAAACTATTTAAAATGTATTAACAATTCGACCGAAAGCCAGTGTGTATACAACATTGACAATGATTGTGTCTTGTACCATGCATTGCATACGAGACTGAACAGGGAGTGGGGCAAGTAATAAGAATTTCCATACTTGTGCTGCCAATTATAAGTGGATACACATTTTTCCCTCCCGTTCGGTTCATCTTCTTTGGAAAACTCCACAAGAATTCTCTCACATATGCACAACTTGTTATCAATAATGTTTTACAGCAAAGTATTATGGCTGCATAATATTTGTGAATGACTTAATCAGTGGCAAATATGCTAAACACATAAAATCTCAGTGCCTTTGCACATACACATACACACATATAGATGTATGTGTATATGGCTAGGTTAGAGTCATTGTGATGGAAATAAATGCTGTTGTAACATACGGGAAAATTGTAATTGTGCTTCGGCATGATCATAAATCCACAAATGACCTAATAATCTCTGGGGTTGTTTTGTTGGTAATTTGGATTTTCATGTGCGTATGCGTATGCGTGTGTTTGTTTGATTTGTTGTGGCATGCACTTCTTGTGGCAAAGAGCAATCCATGCCCTTGACTGTCACTTGGCTCCACTAATTCGGTGATCTCCTTTTATTTGCCATAAAATCCAAACCGAAAATGTTCCAAGTTTTGTTGCGTGTGTTATGTGTGTTGTGTATACGATTTTTTTTTTGTTTCGTCCTCCATATATATTCACTTTATTGGAGTAGCATATATATATTCGCAATTTTTGCGGTCACACATGTTCACGCAATTTATATGTATGCTTGTAAACTGCATCAAGTGCAATATTCCAACAGCATAAATGAATGAATATATGAGTGTGGAAGACAAATTTATGTACGCAAAAACTTTTCAATAATTTATGTTTACATGCACAACAACAATATTGTTATCGTAGAATATTTATAATATTGTTCTTTCAATGGAAGTCGAATTTCAGGATATATACGAGTTGTTTACGTGCAGGAGCAGCACGTAATGCTCAAAAGGATCAATATTCATTCGATGTGTTGAGTTGCGTTCAGTTCAGACACGATATGGCATGTGTTTGTGTGTGTGTGTGTGTGTCTGTATGTTGATATAGTGACGATGATGGAACAAGAAACGCTTCGAAATAATTCAACTTTGAAATTTTACTAATAGATTTCGATGCATGTGTGCGTGTGCACACATCCAAACCACTCCTGTATTTTCTCGGAAGGTATGTTGGCACAACAAACCAATAATAATAACAATAATAACATTGTTCCAAATCAAAACCAAAATGCAGCCGTCTTAGTCATTTCATTTAGTTAAAACAGGTTGTTTAGTTCGAGCGCAAATGTGTATTATAAACTATAAATGTAGCTGAGAGTGTCTTCTTCTTTTCCGTTATAATGGAAAAAATCATAATTTCCACACACATACACACAAACCAATTTCAACTTGGTTAGCTACTACTGCTGCTTCTACTGGTGTCGTCACCGTCACTGTTGCTGCTGGTGCACAGTTTTTACAGTAGTACAAGTTGATCAAACAAAGTTTACAACTCTTTTGCCGAACATTTTTGCCAGAGCTCAAGATGTAAGCAAATAGAATCGTGACGGGTGAAAATACACGTTCTCTTGGGCCACCGAATTCGCTTCAAGGATTTTATGAAAGTCATAATTAATGGATGAAACTGAATTACTGAATTAAATTTTGTAATTTAAGATAAAATATTAATTTTCAGCATCATCAACACCGTCATCGTCGTCGTGTGCGTGAAATGCAAGTGTGTTTGCTGTGTGTCAAAATAAAAATTAAATCGAGATTAAAAAAGTTATACTGTATGAGTTATAACCGATATTGAACTTTTGATATTGATGGTGAGCCAAAAGTGGTGCTTTTACGATAACAAATATATATGTACACACACACACACACACACACACACACACACTTTCATATAGTATAAATGAATAATTACGGACATGTGTGAATGACACATCGACTCTGTTTTTGTTGTTCCTGTTGTGGTTCTTTGTATTGTGTTTACTGGAGCTTGAGTAGAATAAAACAAAATGAAACGAGAAGAAAAAATGAAAATAAACACCGATTTCAATATTGCTTCTTGCGATGGTCATCGATTCATCATTTCAGTGTGAATCAAATCGATTATTCAATTTAAGTCGGTCATTCCATGAGTTTTTGATCGAATGGCTTGCATATTTATATTTGTTCAACTTGCCATTTCAACCATTTTTTGTTGTTATTGTTATTATTACTTGTTTCGTCTCTGACTCTCTCTCTCTCTCTCTCTCTCTCTCTCATTTCATTTTTCTGTTTTTCGCAAAAATAAACTCATGCACGTCGCACATATTATTCACAAAATCATATATATGAATAACCGAAATTTAATTGAATCAATTTCAATTAAAGCGAAAACAATGACACTTCTGAAACTGATGTCACCAATGAAAACCGACTGACTTTTGAAACCAAAATGAATGGATGTGCATTGCACATATACATAACATTCCAACACACCCACATTACATACATGAAAATAATTCTCGGGCTATAAATTGTAATGGATTCGGTCACTATTGCCAATCTGAATTCATATACTTCCATTCTCACTCTCACACTCACTCACATCCACCCGCCGTCATTGTAATCCGTCGTCAGTGTCAGTGTCGTCGTTGACCGTCCGACGGATGAATCGAGTGTTCAATTTCGCTATCTCACTCTCATTCGTCCTCATCGTCTATCGTGCATTTTGTCAGTGTGCATTCCAAATTCGAATCTAACATTCAGTGTTCAGCTAAGCTGATCAGATTTAAATATGGGGAGTTAAGTCAATTTTAATTGGAATATCCATTAGAGTTGGTTAAAATGAATGGGTAACATAATGAAACTTTAGCCGCATTCAATACGGTGAATAATGTTGAATTGAAATTGAAAAATTATCAAAATCAATCTAACTATTCGGTGACCGCAACCGATTCTGGGTGTTTCAAAGCAAATACATTATCATTTATAACCGCTCATAAATAACTCATTCGTTGGTTGTTTGTGCGCGCGTGTTTGTTTGTCTCTCTCTCTCTCTCTCTCTCGCGCGCTCCGTGTGCCCCTCTGTGTTTGTGGGTAACGCTAGATTTCTCTCTCATTGGATTTTTGCTATTATTATTCGAATCAAATTGATGATTGCATTCGGTGTATCATTTTAATTAAAATCACAATTCGCTAAGCTTTCAGACTATCTCGCATTCGTCTGATGTGCATTTGTATAATTGTTGGCTGTTCTGCTGGTAACAACCACTACCACACCACCAAAACTATGGATGCCGTTAGCCCGTTCAACACCCGCCATTGTATGGCGCTACGAAATGTGATCAGCAAAGTGATTAAATACATGTTTAAAATTAATATGACCTCCGATCCCGTTGTGCTTTATGTATGCCGTCTCATTCTTGCTGTGGCATTTGAATGAATCTATCTTGGTCGCATCGTGTCGAAGTGTACGAGCGCGCGCCCGTCTATTAATGATGAGCACTTTGGCCAATGAACTCCATCAAGAAATAATCGACGATTTGAAACCATCCTCTCATTTAAAGAAGATGCAGAAAATCTATCGATTCAATAATAAAATATCATCGACTTACCTCTTCGCGGAACCGATTAACGATTTCTCCTTTTTTACCGATAATACTTCCAACTTCCTGCAAGGTAAAAGAAGAAGAAGAATGGCGATTAGTTTAATTACGAAAATCCTGATTAATCTCATGAAATTCATTCTTGACGACACAAAAATAGAAATCGAATCAAAGCGGATTCGAAATGAATCCCCTATAATTTAATCTACTAATTCGATATAGCGATCGGCTGTGTTGCTTTCTGTCATGCCCTCTCGAGTGCAACGACGGCAATGGCAATAGTCAATTGAATGGCCAAGCAAAAGAGTCGTTACCGTCAAAGTGGTCATTGTCAACACAATTTCATCGTCTATCGGATTTAAACGTGAAACGGAACATTCTCTCTCTCTCTCACTCTCTGTATAATTACGTTGTTCCATCGCATTTGCGATCCATGCTAAAACTCTATGTTTATTCTTGATTGAAATGGCTAAAATCCACTCATGCACCACCACAACTACATTCGGTCGAGCTTGTTTAAGCTATTCACTGCGTCACTGATGACGATGACGACGACGACGACGACGACGACGACGACGACGACGACGACGACGACGCGTTCATAGCGGTACGAAAGATATAGTGGATACTGGCTTTGCCTGTAGCAACTAAATGTTATTGAACTAAACAAGTTTTTCATCCTCAATATTTCTATTTTGAGTGAGTTAAAGAATTTCAAACATTTCTTTATTCTATCGCTCATGCATATGCATGGCCATCTGTACGTCGTTCACACACTCCTATAGTCGTTGTTAGCTTGCTTCTCGTTCTGCCTCTTGCACTCTTTCCAATCATTCTTTTGTTGGCGTTCTTTTTTCTCTGTTCTTCTTCTCTCTCTCTCTCGCTCTTTCTTGCTGTCGCTGTTAAAACATTGTGCACTGTGTTTCTTTGTCTACATTTTTCCACTTCATCGGATTCATATGTATATAAATTTGTTCACATGTAGAAAAGCATACGAAGCCTTTCACTTCACCATACGTTCCACTTCACAATTTCATCTCTTTGGTTTGTGCTGATTTTTGTCAAACACGAGACAGTAAAAGAGATTGAGGGAAAGCGCAGAAAAAAAAGAACAAAACTTAAAACAACAAAATATCCTTTGTATTTGCTGCTCTTTTTTGTTGCTTTGCTTCGGTGTCTTGTTATTATTGGAAAATCGAGAAATATTTTATCACACTCGAATAAGAACGAATATCTTTATTCATCGTTGCATCGAAAATACCCCCGGGGGGGGGGGGGGGGGGGGGGGGGGGGGGGGGGGGGGGGG